GTTCATTTATTTTTACAAAGGACATCACAGTGTAATCCTGTGTCCTGAATTTCCAATATACTCCTGACTGGTTGGATCTCATAGAATCATCCTGCCTCGGTGTTCTAAGTGGTAAGATTACAGGCTTGAACCAAAATGTGCAGTTTCCATCTCTTGAAACAGACTAATAGCCTGAGGTAGCATCACTTCTAGATTTTATCATTAGGTATTTCCTAAAAGACCCCAGATAGTCAATATCAATTTTGGCATGAACCCATTGATGGCCAAGTGATGCACATTAACATTGTTTCAGCAACAGAGGGATGTGCAGAGACAGGCATCAATGCTAACATTTAATATAAGCCATGGGTGGGGGCTGAGGCTCTGGGGTAGACTGCTGGCCTAGGATGCATAGCATCCTGCGTTCTGAGAGACCAGCCTGACTCCATCTTAAGAATGGAAGCACCTTTGTTATAAGGTCAGCATAAGTTAACGTGTTAGCAGCAACTTTTCAGTTGACCAAACTTTAACCTATTTCTGGAACTTGACATGCTCTCCACTCTATGGACTTTGGCTGACACCTTGATTGTACCCTGATAAAATGTTCTATCAAATAATTTAGGAATGTTCAGCCAAGTTCCTAAGTGACCAAATGCCCCTGGAAATTCCCCAATCATTGAACCCCCCACCCCCGGTCTTGCAGTTTTCTGAACTCCTTCTCCTGTGTTTGATGCTATTTTCTCAAACCCCGCTTTGGGGAGATAGCCCTGTCTAACAGAAAATACAGCTTACTTAATTAGACCAAATAACCTGGGTAATGGTCTTTCCTATCTTTAGATGGGATTAACAGTTCCATGCCCAGAATGACATAAACTAGGTATGGCAGCTCATGCCTGCCATCCCAACAAGAGGAAACAGCAGTGGGAGGCTTTGAAATTTGAGGTTATCCTGAGTTTGAGGCCACCCTGGGTTACCTCAGACCTGTCTCAGAACAAACAAAGAAGAAAAACCAGTTGGAAGAGAAAGACTGGTAATCTTTCCCCACCAGGACATGTTACACCATGTAACAAACCACACATGTAAAAAAAATCCCCAAGCTAAATGGGAGATGACAGGCATTATGTAAATAACCTCTAAAGGACCAGAGCTGGGGGGAAAGCAGACTCACAGGGAAAATCACACTTCCCGTGCAAAGCATGAGGCCCTGAGTCCAACACTGAGTAGGCTGAGTAGATCCTGGCCTGGCCCCCATGACCTACCTCCCTGTGATGGCTATACTTGGTTATCAACTTGACTACATCTGGAATTAATAAAATCCAAAAATGGAGGGCACACCTGTGAGGGTTTTTTGCCTAATTTGAAATAGGTAGATGCATTCATCTTTATCTTTGAGGTAGGAAGACAAATTTTGAATTTGGGCAACATCTGCAGGAAGCTGATATAAAAAGAAAGGAAGTTTTTGCTATCTGCCTGCTTATGTTTGCCTTGCTAGCAAGTCAATTTCTTCACATGAATTAAAGCCTACTTCTTTAGAACTCCAGTCTATACTGAAAACCAACTGATATATAGAGCTTTACGAATTGAGCAAATATTGTATTCTTGGAGACTTTCTGTTTACAGACAGCCATTGTTGGATTAGCTGGAAGTGCAGTCTCTTACAGAAAGTACCAATTTCTAATAAGTTATATATATATGAAATATATTTTTAAGTATTATTATATATGTATATGTTATATATAAGCATACATATATTCATTACATAAGTTCTGTTCCTCTAGAGAGCTCTGACTAATACATATTTTGACACCAGAACTAGTTTTAGAATGATAATTCTCAACCATCATAATGCTGCAACCCTTTAATACTTCACATTGTAGTGACCACCCATCTATAAAATTACTTTTGCTGTTACTTCATAACTATAATTTTGACTGTTATAAAATAAATATATTTGGAGATAGAAGTATGTAAAAGTGGTCACAACCCACAGGCTGTTCTAGAACAACAAAAGTGTAAGGATGAATATTTTAAGTATCTGGAATAAGCTTTTCAGTTTGCCAACATCTACTATTACTGAAGCCTCTCCAGTTACTGAAACCTCTCCAAGTACTGAAAGCTCATGGTGTGAACTATAGTACAAACTTAAGGAGATAAACACATTTAATACCCTGATTTACCAATTCTGAGTGGCAAAATTTAGTGGTATTTGCTCCACCCATGACCTTGGGATATAGGGCCCGAAGGAGGCGGTGCTTCCTGTCATTGTACAAGACCTCTTATAAGTCTAACCAGACTTAAGGCAAAGCAGATTTCTAGAGGGGAGTTAGAAGGAGTATTCCATAAGGAAATGTATTATACCACTAAAGAGCTTAATGAGTTCACTAATTCACTCAAGCAGAAGTTTGGGGAATATGTGTGGAAATGGATTTTAAAGGTATTGGATAATGGTGGAAGGGACATAAAACTTATCAGGTAGAGTTTATTAATATGGGCTGAGAGGAGATTCTAGGTTTAATATGGAAGCTTGTGCAGTTTTCTTTAAAAAGTGACAAAAGTTTGATTAAATGGTTGGCTGAAACATTTGTCAAAAAATGGCCTACTGAAAAGGAGTTAGAGACTCCTGATATCCTGGGGCTTAGTGTTGATGAAGGGATTATAGAGCTCAGGCAAACTGCAATGCTAGAGCGAGTATGCTGTGTGAAACCTAATTCTCCACAATGGGAAGGCCCAGAAGACAAGCCCTTCACTGATCCTATAAGATGCCAATTGTTGAGCAGAGCACCTGCACATTTGAAGAGTTTTGTCGTCACCCTTTTTCTTGTGCCAAAACTTAGGTTGTAGATGTTATTGCTCAGCTCATGAGCTAAATGCAATGGGTTTAACTGGGCCCCAAGGTAGCAAGGCCCAGGTGGCAGCACTGAATCTCCAAAGGCAAGGTGATCATAGTTACTGTAATGGGCAGGACAGACAAAGTAATGTCCATAATGGTCTAGCCCCTAATAGTCAGCACAGGCAAAGGAAATTTCATGGTGACATAACTAATATGTACCTTTGGTACTGGCTAATTAATCATGATGTTTCCAGGCATGAAATAGATAAGAAGCCTACTGAGCTTTTGTTTGATCTATATAGGCAGTAAAATTCTCAAACAATTGAAAGAAAGGCAACATTTGATTGGGGCAAAATGGAATCTTGGCCCATGAATCAGCTTCTAGGTTGAGCCAGTTTGGAGACCCTAAACCCTTTGTATGAAGGAATGGCCAGCTTCCCTGAAGAAGGACCTTGATAAAAATACTTAAAATTTTACTGTTATTAGCCTACTCCAATTTTTTGCAGCGGGACCTATGACCCTTCAAGAGGGCAACTTTACACTGGGGCAAAGGAAACAATCAGACCTTCCGGGACCCATTGAATTAATGTTGATTCTAGGACGCCCCAAGAAACATTGCTACTCTTCAGTTAAAGGAGTGGCTTATGGTCGGGTAATTAATGGCATTTTGGCTGAAGTCTGACTCATAGAAGGTCTGATGCACTGGTTCTCAACCTGTGAGTTGCAACCCTTTGGGGGTCAGACCCCATTTCACAGGGGTCGCCTAAGACCATCCTGGATATGAGCTATTTACATTATGATTCATAACATTAGCAAAATTACACTTTGAAGCCACAACAAAAATTATTTTCTGATATGAGGTCACTATAACATAAGGGTCACAGCGTTAGCAAGGTTGAGAAACACTGCACTAGTGGGTCCCCACACTCATCCTGTTGGTATTTTCCCAGTCCTAAAATGTATACTTGGGATAGACATACTTAAAAGTTGGCAGAATTCTCACACTGGTTCCCTGACCTGTTGTGTAAGGGCTATTATGATTGCATGAGCTAAGTGGAAGCCTCTAGAGTTGCTTCTGACAAGAAAATGAATGAATCAAAACCAGTTGCAGAAATTAGTGGCAACATCGAGGAAAAGATGCAGGAGTGTGGTTCCCAGCACAATTTCCTTTAACTCTCCTATCTACCAGTGCAGAAGACAATGGATCATGGAGAATGATAGCTGACTATGGAACAGTCAACCAGGTAGTGATCTTGATAGCAGCTGCTGTACCACTTGTGCTGTTCTTCTTTGAGCAGATAAACACCTCTCCTGTTTCTTGGTATGGAGCTATTGATCTAGCAAATGCCTTTTTGTAGTTAAAAAGAATCAGGAAACTCAATAAAAGGAGAGAAATTCCAGGATTGTGGACTCAATATCATATGAATATGAGTTAAAGATTCAATAAAAGTCTAACACAAAGTCTAACGATTTATACTAAAAAGCACATAAAATTGATAACAAAAGGTCATCATGAGTAAAAAAAAAAAGATCAACACAAGACTGAATAAATAGCACATACAGTGACACCATCGGACTTCAAATTTTCTCATACACCTGCGATAAACACTGTACTACTGTCTGGGAAAGAATAAAGAGATTGACAAAATCTAATAGAAAAGTTAGGAAAAAAAAAACATAATATAGAGTCAATTTTGACACATGAGGCCAGGAATCCCAGTAAGTCTGGCCTTACTGGAACACATTACTGGACCATCCTGACATCCACATGCAAATGTGTTAATGACAGATTTTACTCCCTGCATAGAATTAACTGCAGACGGATCCTACACCTGAATGTTCCGTGTCAAGTGCAGAACTTCTAGAACATACTGCAGAAACCAGGGCTCTCCAAGTTCAGCAAAATTCACTTCCCTGACAAGAATAAACACAGCACATGCCTGCTATTTCCTGGTGATTTCAACAAGGATGTTTCTATCCAGAGTCATCCTTCCTCCTCCGAGCCCCACTCCCCATCATGTTCTATGCAGCTGCAGACCTCGCATGGAAATTATTCAAAGGCACCAGGACCTGGGAATTGTAGGGACAGCAGGGACCTCGCGGAACTCACGGGACCTCACGGGGCTCCGGTTTCCACAGACCTGGGATCCCACCGATCCTCCACTCATAAAGGCAGCAGCCCCTCACTCACCATGGCGTAGATTCCGAGCTTGTCTCTTCACAGCTCTCGGTGGTGGGTGACAGCCCAGCACACGGAATCACAAGAACCTCCCAAGCCTGCAGCATGGCGGGCCGGAAATGCCCTCCCCACATTGACTGGAGGGTGGCTCTATAGGTGCTGATTTGCTAGTGAGGCCTGAGTGACAGGAGCAGCTCCCTTTGGGACAGAGTGCAGTCAAAAGACACAGCACAGTGGTTCCCAACCTAGGCACAGAACTATCCCAGACCTGCAGAGATTGGCATTGCAGCAAAACTTGCATCTGGACTGCAAAGTCGTCCCTGCGGTATTCTTGCCCATACTGGGCACTTCCGCTTCTTCCTTCTGGGCATATACAGATCTAGCACATACAGATCACTACTCAATGTGCAGTGGAGTGATCCTCCTGCCTCAAAGTTGAAAGGTCCCCCAGACCACCCAGATCAAATTTAAACCACCTGATGTGTATTCACGAGGTATTAGCAATTTCAATAAGGCAGGACTAGGATTGCTCACACCTCTCTCAGCTGCATATTGCTTTCCAAAACAGGAACACTTTCCCAACCTTCTGTGTAAGGATTGGAGTGCTTTTACTTTTGATTACTCACTAGTGCTTGTTTCTATTATTTAATTAAATGTATAAGCCATTATGGAAAAACATGTTTTCCGTGTCTGGACTGTCCTGTTGATTGTATACAGCTTGAACTCATGAGAACTTTACTCATGTAAACTTTCTTAACCCTCCGATTAAGTTGTCTGGGGCTATGAATAGAGTTGGCTATTAAATGAGACTTTAGTCCACCTCATTCACCTGCTCCTTGTTTCCCCCACCCCACCCCCCCACCCCATTCCATTGCCTCTAGTGGGGTCACAGGAGTGTGTCAACACAACCTCCAAACTTTTGTTTTAAAAGATAGTCTCACATAATCCAGTGCTTTTGGAATTAGAACAGTGGTGGCTATATAAAGTAGTGTCAATGGTGAACAAAACAGTTTAAAATGGGGACTTTCACTTGTGTGAATTGTATTTTAATAAGGTAAAAAATATACCATGATGAATCGCTGACCTTAATATTTTCTCACACAAACTCGTTGCTCATGAATTTTGAAGTTTCAACGCCTGTGCCAGGAAGATTGTTTAAAGGCACTTGAATACAGTACCAACTCAAGCACACTTTCCTCTGAACTCCACATGTGCATTGTTGCATACAGAGCCATTTCCCAACCTGCTACATGTGTGCACACATGTGCCCACCCAGAATAAAAACACATATACATAGATGAATGTCAAACTGTTAAGTTTCTAGCCCTTGCATGTTCAGTCATGACAATGCTCTTACTCCAGTTAGTACCAATAGTCCTGACACACCTACCCCAATGCACCAGAATGATACAAATTCTGAGCTCATCATTCAGAAAGGCTGAACTCTTCATTTTACCCACTTGTTCATTTATTTGTACAGAGGTTATCACACTGTAGTAAAAATAAATAAATAAATAAATAAAATAAAAAGAAAGAAAGAAAAGCCTAGGAGAAAACAGAAATGGTGGGTATTATGTAAATAAGCTATAAAAGATCAAGAGCTGGGAGATGCTCACAGAGAAAAACACCCTTATTGTTCAAAGCATGACCCCAAGTTCAACATTGTATCCACTGAGTGAATCCTGACCCAGTCCCTGTATCTTACCTCCCTATGAGGGCTATTATTGGTTGTTCAAGTGAATACATTTGGAATGAACTAAAATACAAAAATGGAGGGTTCACCTGTGAGGGTTTTTTGCTTGATTTGAAGTGTGTAGATCCACTCCTAATCTGAATCTGCTTTCTGAACTCAGAAGACACACCTTCTGCGGGAAGGCTATATAAGGACAAGGAGGAAGGAAGTTTTCGCTCTTCATCTGCTTTCCCTCACCTTGGTAGCAATTCAGTTCCTTCACTGGCATTAGAGTACTTCTTCCAGATTGAAGGGTTCACTGAAGACCATAAAAGACATAAACCATCATGGACTGAGCAACTTCTGGATTCTTGGACTTTCCACTCACAGCCAGCCATTGTTGGATTAGTTGTATTTTTGCCTAGTCATTCAAATACTGCCCCCCTTCTCTCTCTCTCTGTCTCTCTGTCTGTCTCTGTCTTTCTGTCTGTCTGTCTGTCTGTCTGTCTCTCTCTCTCTCTCTCTCTCTCTCTCTCTCTCTCTCTCTCTCTCTGTGTATTCATTTTATAAGTTTTATTACTCAAGGGAATCGAGGCTAATACAGATTTTAATACTAGAAGTAGTTCTAGAACATCAGAACTATAAGGATGAATCTTTCAAGTATCTTGAATAGGCTTATTAAATCTGCCAGCACTTATAATTATCAAAGCCTCTTCAGTTACTGAAGCTTCTCCTGGAACCTAAGAATATCAAAAGCCCATTATGTGAATGATATTACAAACTTAAGGGAAGAATTTTATTTGATTATCTTGATTCTCCATGGTGATTTACAGCTCCTTATTTATAAGAGATTATAGACTTAATAATGATGAGAAGGATATGTCTTAAAGAACTTATGGGTAAAGTGCCTGCAAAAATTCTTGTACCATGAAATAAAATGCAGGTTGATTATTTGTTTCATGCAGATATTAATTGGCAGGCTGTATTAGCATGTTATTTGGAATCTAAAGGTAATCATTATCTAAAAGATCCCTTTTAAGACATTTTTAAAGATAATCCATGGGTATTGCCTAAAGTTACATCTAAAAATCATTTTTTTAAGATTTATTTATTTATTATGTATACAGTGTTCCGTCTGCATATACACCTGCAGGCCTGAAGAGGGCACCAGATCTCATTATGGATGGTCGTGAGTCACCATGTGGTTGCTGGGAATTGAACTCAAGACCTCTGGAAGAAATGCCAGTGCTCTTAACCTCTGAGCCCTCTCTCCAGCCCCTAAAAATCTTATAGAGAGTGCTGTTAATGCTTTTATAGATGGCTCTTTAAGAATACATGGAGCATACATGTTACATGGAAATTCCACATACTTCACAAAAAAAATTGTACACCCCTGGTTGTACAGTTCAACTGTCTGAACTTGCTGTAAACAGCCAGCTTTTATTAGATATCCCCCAACCATTGAATATTTTAACGGACTATGCATATTGCACTCAATCAGTTCCTCTATTAGAAACTGCAAGATCTACCACATTACTAGTGTGACTTCACAATTATTTCTGTCCTTTTAAATATCTATACAAAAATGAACTCAGCATTTTTGCATAACTAATATTCGTGCTCATTCTAATTTGCCAGGTTCATTAACATCCACCAATGCTCAAGTCAATGGACTGTTCTTTTCCTCAACCCTAGCCTTTTTTTTCCAGGCCACTCAAGAATCTAACAACCTTCCTCATCAAAAAGCAAAACCTTTACAGCTAAAGTTTTCCTTGGCTTGTGAGCAAACTCAGCAAATTATCATGCCCCATCCTTCTTGTTCTTTTACTCTGCTGTCATCTGCTGGCAGAATTAATCCTCAGGGGTGAAAATACAACACCATTTGGCAAACAGATATTACCCATATCTTAGAATTTGGTTGTAAATGTTCACATAACAACTGATACCTTTTCAAATATGATCATTGCTTCTGCTCACAGAGGTGAAACAACCTCAGATGCCATTGGTCATTTATTATACACCTTCCCCTTTTTAGGATTACCACAACAAATAAAAACTGACAATAGCTCTGCTTATAGCAGCAAATACATTAGAGAATTTTGCAGCTTATGAAATATTAATCATGTTACTGAAATCACAATTCAGAAGGTCAAACTATTGAGGAACTATATCATCAAATACTTAAATGACAAAAACTTAAAATGAAAAGGGTGTGTAGACACCCATCAAAATCTCCCACACTATGGTGCATAATGCTTCTGCTACTGCGCAAAACCATTTTGCCCTAAAGGAGACAGAGTCTAAAGAATATAATAGATGGAAAGACCTAGAGACAAAACAAAGGAATTAACATCAGGGCAAGGTAATGCTTATGTCTTTCCAGAAAATGAACAAAGTCCCAAATGGCTCTAGTTAGGATGCACCTGACAAGGACTCCTAAAAGAAATTTGTTTGGCATAAGAGTCACCCATAAGTACTGTGCACAAATAACAGGGGACAATATACAATCCTCCCCTATGTATATGTATAGGGCTTCCCTGATATTCCTGTTCATAGTGTTTTTCTATCACATTGTTATACCTCAAATGCGGTTATATCTTTCCTTATTGCAATTTCACTTCTGTTTACAACCTTCTCTATGGTAAGCGACAGATTTCGTATCGACCCTTTTGGGGTGGGGGAGGAGCACTTCTTACACTTCCCTTCCTGTGGGCTATAAATGTTTATGTGCAATAAGTCCTATGACACCCATTTCACTCAGCAAATCCCTGCTCCTATTGTGGCCACTACTTTTTTCTTTAAAATCTTAGAAATGGGGAGATGTAGAATGCACTAGGGCCTTGTATTCACAGAGAAGCACTAAGAGAACCAGGAATGTTAATCATGCAGGGGGCGGCCCTCAGTGGAGGAGAGGAAATCAAATACCTGCATTCAGTCCAGAAAGCTGAGAGTGGATTTTGTTAATGACCTAGTGACCCTTTTGCTTTCCATAGAGACAGATCTTACCCTAATTTCCCAGAATGATTATTCCAGACTCTTCCCTTCCTAGACCATTACCCATCCTTAGGGTACTTTATGGCCTGCTGACCTCTATACTATCTGTCAGAGACCACATTAGATTCTGGGACTCTTAGCTATAAAACCCACCCTCATGGTCACATGGACTTGGAAAAGAGTTTCTATGTAGTCACACCTTAAGTTTCATTGTACACTGGAATTGGAATGATTGTGGAATCATTATTGCCTAGAGACACTTTTCCAAGTTCTATTATATTTAAATAAGGTTAAAATAAAATGCCCGGTGTCTTGGTTAGGGTTTCATTGCTGTGAAGGGACACTAAGATGATAGCAAGTCATACAAAGAGAAACATTTAACTGTGGTGGCTCCCTTACACTGCAGAGGTTTAGTCCATTGTGATCATGGCAGGAAGCAAAGCAGTATGCGGGCACACAGGGTGCTAGAGTAGGAGATGAGTCCTTACGTCTAGACTCCCAGGCAACAGGAGGTGGTCTGAGACA